CTGTTGATGTAACAGACAATGCCAGTGTGGAAACTAGATATCTAGATTTAAAGACATGGATAACAATCAACATAAGATCGGAGACAGTATTAAAAGGCTGCTATTAGTTTAAACAGATAATCTATGAAGAAGAAGAAAAAAACTTTCACAGTTTATATCTGTGTTCACCTCCTTAAGGTCTCCTTTTCGAGCACCAACGTGAAGATTTGTCCAGCCTCTGTCGTCCCTATCATCACCCCCGGGGCTATTGGAGCGCAAGCTGTTGGAACGTTTGATGTGCCTCCGAATCCGATTACTATTCGAACGCAGTAAGTGATCTTGGATCATTGTTCCTTCTTTCAATTATCTTTCGAATATACCAGAACTTGAGCAAGTCTTTGCAGTCAAATAAACTAAATTTAATCGATTCTTGAAACACGAAACCCTAGCAGTGTCTAGAAACTGAAAAGACACGAATTGCAGATAATCGTCTTTTTTACATGATTTGAAGTAACTAAACCAGCGAAAAGAGAGAATTAGCGAGAGAAGTGATTAGCCATGTTGTATGGAGCGAAAGGATTCAAACCAGGGCCAAACAAACGGAGATTTCTAAGCTTAATCACGAGCAATGAAAGCGATGACGATGATCGAGTGAGAGAGGTGTTAAACATAACTGACAAATCGCCCAAAGAAAACCCGATTGATGATGAAACGAAAAGTTCACAAACCGTAGATAAAAGAAAAATTAAAAGAAACACAGCAATATTTCGGAAATGTTTGGTGGTTTCATTGATGAATGAAGTATGCAGTTGGATGAGATGGAATCGAAGATGAACACAAAACCTAGATTTTGCAGAGAGAGAGAGAGAGAGAGAGAGAGAGAGAGAGAGAGGGCGTTTGTGTTGCTTGGAATTTGGAAATATACAGTGATGTAAACCGTAAGGTCTGCTACTTGAGGAAAATGAGAAAATGTTGAGGGAATCACGTATTCACGTTTTCATTGGACCGGATTGAAACCGGTTTTTGGGCCCAACGCACTAATCAAGCTGGTTAAGAACCGGTCCCAAAATAGCATTACTACCAGTCGAACAGGTTAAGAACCGGTCCAAGCTTAACCACCTTGGGCCGGGCTCTCCTCACGGTTTTTATTTAAACACACTTTTTAGAAAATTAAATGCTCACTCAAATAATTGCTTATCTTATTTGATTATAAAACTAGATTAGATCAGAGACCCTCAGAAACGACGGGTTTATAAGTTATACAATGAAACTATATTGATAAAATAAGAAAATTTTAAAAATTCAATACTAAAATATTATGAAATATAGAAAATATAAAACTTTATGAAAGTATCGGTTGTTAAGGAGGGCGAGAGTGAAGAGTTGGTGGTGATTCTCGGAGGTTGAAGAAGAAGGAAACCGGTGGCGGTGAAAGTAACTGTTTTATGTTTGCTTTCCGACAAAGGTGGTGAGTTTCGGTTAAACAAAACACAAATGAAGATACCCTATTAATTTTCCAGTTTTGTCGGTTTTTACCTTAGGTGAAGAAGATGTAGTGTGGGTGGTGGCTAGATGGAAGCTTGTACAATGGAGTTTTACAGGGAAGAAGATGCAATGATGATGATTGAAGGTCGATTCCCGACTGTGATGTTGGCTGAGTAGTTGTTTATTCTGCAAAAAATCCAACAAAAGTGGGGTGGAGGGGGGGGGGGAATCCATCTATTTGGACCAATTTTATAATCTTAAATACCCCCAATAATTACTATTTTTTTTTTCTTAAATAGAACAAATCATTACATAATATTGTTTTTTATTAACCATCATTACATAATTATTAGTTGAACCCTTATGATTAGTGTTGTAAACGAACCGAACATTCGGCGGGAAGTTCATTTGTGTTTGTTTATTTAATAAATGAACGAATATAAATAAAAATTGTCGTTCGTTTAGTTAAACGAACGAACATTAACAATGGTCACATTCGTTTATTTATGTTCGTGAACATTCATTTATGTGATTCACTTACGTTTTTTTATGTTCGTTTGTTTAAGTTTATTTATGTTCATATATGTTCAATTGTTTTTGGCTAATACTATAATTACCCCCCCCCCCTCCTTCTTTTCGAATTCTACCTCCAGATGTGACTTTTTTGTTTTTTGTTGTTTTTTTTTCCTTATTTTGTTTTTTTGTTGTTTTTAATTTTTAATTTTAATCTTATTATTATTATTATTATTATTATTATTATTATTATTATTGTAAATTTCGATAACCGTATAAAATTCGGACAATATTTTAAAATTCTGACGACATTATAAATTTGGACGACATAATAAAATTCGAACGACTATATAAAACGAAACAAAAGCAAAGTTTATCTTTATTTATCACAGATATATTAATTGGTTCGGTATTACATTTGCGATGTGTGTTATGCGGATTGAAAGCAAACTTTAATTATGTTCCGTTTTATATAGTCGTTCGAATTTTTTAATATCGTCCGAATTTATAATGTTGTCCGAATTTTATAAGGTTATCGAAATTTATAATAATAATAATAATAATAATAATATTATTATTATTATTATTATTATTTATAATCATATTAATATTATGTTCCTTTTAATCTGTTTGACAAATTTTCTATTTATTTATTTATTTTTTGTTTCCTCTTTAATATTTTTTTTTGAGATGTCCCTTTACACCCTGTTTTTGATTTAAAAACTTCACTTTACACGTGGTGCCACCTTCCACTGCTTTCAATGAGATACGGACAATAGATACCCACCGCTTCACCGCTGCCCACACCAAGAGGAACCGGCTCTTCATACCCCCAGTTTATCTCGATTATCTCGATGCTTCGCCTCCTTCTCCCCCCCCCCCCCCCCCCCCCCCCCCCCCCGCCTACCTTCTCCATAGTAACTGATTTTTTTCGCTTTCTTCTTCCAAATCTGAAACATCCCAAAATACGGCCCAAAAATTTCATTTTTCAATCATAATAAAAATCATAAACCATCCAGTATCATGAGTAAAAACGTGAGTCATGTATCATAACACATCATAAAATCTGTCTCATATATAAATCTCATAACAAAATATCAGAGTGAAACTCCCAGGCTGAAGACTGTGGTGTGTGACATGCGATCATCCCGAGCCCTTTCCTTTGCTAGTGGAAGTACCTGAAACCAAAACTGAAACCGTAAGCACGAAGCGTAATGAGCTCCCCCAAACTACTACATACCATACACATATAACATGCAACTAAGAGATACGGGCCCCGCCCACACTCGGCTAACTAGGAGATACGGGCCCCGCCCACACTCCGCTAACTAGGAGATACGGGCCCCGCCCACACTCTGCTATCTGTGAGATACGGGCCCCACCCACACTCAGCTACTCGAGATACGGGCTCCGCCCACACTCGCCTGCTATGAGATACGGGCCCCGCCCACACTCAGCTGCGACACTGACATACAAGTATCACACAGAAACAAGTATACTAAATCTATCATTCAATCAAGAATCATATTGCAACCAAACTACTAGGAGATACGGGCCCCGCCCACACTCAACTAATAATAACTCATACTGCGGGCCGGTCTTAGTGCCTTAGACCCGTTCCTACCGAAGGGACACTCACCTCGTGTGTCTGGTTGCTGAATCCCTGAGTGAGAATTATCTGGCTGCTGCTCCGGCTATAATTCCCACAATGACACATAGTCAAAAACTGATAACTAATCTCAGGGTGAAATGACCATTTCACCCTTGGTCAAAGTCAATATTCAGTCAAAGTCAACATTCCAGTTGACCGGACTCGCCGAGTTGGCCCGCCAACTCGCCGAGTCCCGATCCTTTCATCTATCCCCAACTCGTCTCCACTCGTCGAGTTTAGCAAGAACTCGACGAGTTCTCCTTCAACTATAACCTTGGGGCAATCTTCATCTGGCTCGCCGAGTTCCTCCTTAACTCGTCGAGTTTATCTTCATCATATGAACGTGTCTAGTATTTGACTCGCCGAGTTGTATGATCAACTCGTCGAGTCCGTCTTCATGAGTTGGGAGATGGCCTTGGACTCGCCGAGTACGTTCCTGCACTCGCCGAGTCCCATGGTTTCCAGCTCCATGTCTTTGTCTATTTCATTGAGTCCCTTCCCTGGACTCATCCAAATCCCTTCTGAACTAAAATGGGTTCCTCTTAGTCATAACAGTTTTGGGAACCAACTCACGACTCGCCGAGTCCATGCATGTCCAAGTCTAATAATTCGATTTCTAATGTGCAAAACTCATCCAGAAGGTAGATCTAGGCTCCTAAGATCGGTATAACACGTAAATCCATTAACTTTACGTTCATGCATGGGACTTTTATGCTCAAAGGACCAAAAATGGGGTTTATTTCATTCTTGGGGTTCTCATGGCCATAAAGATGGCACCTTTATGCCATGAGGACCCTCCAAGGTTCCAGATCTGTGTGTAAATCGACTTGGGACGTCCAAGTCCCAAGGATCAAGCTCCTTGGACCCAAAACCTCATTAAGATGACCACAAGGAGATCTAAGAAACTACAAGTCAAGTATGAGGCTTGATTACCAGAAAGTGAAGAGAAGCTCATGTTGTTCTTGGATCTACAATCTTCTCTTGAAGTCCTCTTTCTTCCTCCTCTTCTCACAAGCTTCAAATACACCCAATAACTCTCAAAATCACAAAGAAAGCTCAAGTTCACTTATGGAGGATTAGGGTTTCGGGATTACTGCTCTGGAGGTGATGGAGGCTGGACAAAAGGCCTATAATGTTGCTTAAATAGGGTGCAAACCCTAAATATTATGGTTTCCCCCAGACTGGCCTACTCGTCGAGTCAGGGTGTGGACTTACCGAGTAGGTCACTTAAACCCGCGTCCAAACCTGGCATCTACTCGACGAGTTAGGGCTACAACTCGTCGAGTAGATCTTATAAAATGACATTTAATGAATTAAATACGTACCAGAAACGGGGCGTTACAAAACCTCAATCTCAAACTCCATATGTTACATGCTCTGTCTTATTTCCGTTCTCTCCCATGATTGTTCCATTGCTACCATACCCAATCGCCTATATATCTGCCGGTGGTGCCCAACAGAAGCCCTAAAATCGATTTCAATCGTTCGCACCTCCTCTCAGTTGCATATCGGTCGACCTTTCCAGGGAAAAAACATCGATGAGACAGGTAGGTCAAAATCCCCTTTCGTCACCTCGACCCCTGTTTCAAATAATGATTTCCTTCTCTGGAGTTTTTCAGTTCTTTCCCTCAGTTTACATGGAAGTAGTTTGATTTATGGTCACGTATTGGTATTAGGTTGTTTTGCTTCGACTTATGCTTTTTTGGGTTTTTTCAGTTCTTTGCCTTAGTTTACATGGAAGTTGTTTGATTTTTGGTCACGTACTGGAATCAATGTCTTTTGCTATGTATCTTTTTGATGCTTTTGAGTGTAATTTGTTCCTCTGCTTGAAAGTGTGATTGCTATTTTTTTTTCTTTTTGCATTTTACAGAGGCCCAGAGACGGAATAAAACCCAACAGGGAGATAAATGCGCTCTCTCTTTACAATTTTGAATTATATATTGAACATCATTGTCTTCTCCCATTTGTTCATCACAACTTAATTCTTACTTAATTTTTTTATTGTTTTTACCACTTTCAGTTGGTGGATGCTTCAACTTTGAAGAAAGAGGTTGCTGATGGTGTTGAAGAGGTCAGGCCATCTCATGTCAATAAAGATGGGAAGTCGGTTTACTTGGTTTACTTAAACCCGTAATCTTGGAACATTGGTAGGAGTTTATATAGTTTTTACCTTTTATCATATTTAGTATTACTTTATAATTGAGAAATTGCTTAACACATTGTTAACTATTTCCAGTTACAAATTTGTTGTTTCTTGATTCACCTATTGGAGTTGGATATTATCACTCAAATACCACTTCAGATATCTTGAATGCGATAAAAGAACTGGTATAACTTCAAACCTTTAACTCACATTTGGTTCAAAGAGATGAAATGGAATGTGATATTCCATTCCATGAACCAAATGAATGGAATTGAATTCCATACATACTCTTATGTTGTTGTGCTGCAGCTGCAGATTTGCTTCAATTTCTATTGAGTTAGCTTGAAAGATTTCCTCACTTTAAAGGAAACAATTTCTATATTGCAGGTAAATAATCTTAACATATAAGAACAAAACATTATTCCTTCATTCATATTAATGTCAATTTTGAACTTTAAGAGATACTTAGTTTGACCTCAAAAACATTATTTCTATATTTATTGCAGTTAAATCTGACGCGTTTCATGCGTTTTAGAGTTTGTCTATTTGTGTAAGTCATTTTACTTCAATTGGTTGTATATCTTATAGAGGTTTCATTGGTTGATGCAATTTTATCGTTACAGTTGAAATCAAGATAACAAAATTGATAAGAAATATTATATTCAGTAACTTATTGTAATAATGAAGAAAAAAAATAATTTTGTTTTTTTCTGTTTCTAGCATTAGTGGGATAATGGATTTAAGAGGGGAAAATTAAGTAAATTAACATATTTTCCTACATGAGTCCTAAAACTCCAAAAAAATCATCGTTTATAAATGTATGTTTGCCTCAACGAGACATAAGATTTGTTTTCCGAGAAGCCATGGCTTAATTTGAGTTCAAATTTTTTTCATTTTTAGATGCGATCAAGAAAGCTTACCAGAGAGTATGAAGCATCCATTCGGTAGACACAAAAAGAACCATATTGGTCAGTAACAATGAAAGAAGTGGTTAATTGCCTTCTCATGAGAAAAAAAGAACCCCTCATTACAAATATGTAAATAATGTTTATTTTTTTTTGATTTATTGATTTATTTTATAATTATTTTCATATCTTTATCTCATTCTTCAATTTATAAAATTATGCAACTTAGAGCTTTTTTAGGTGGGGCTTATCTCTTTAATAAAGTTTACAATATTGCTAAATGGATCTTTTTTTTAAGGGATATTGGTTTTTTTTTTCTCCGGATACAAAGCCCTATATTTTTTTTCCATTCGACCTCTCTTGAAAAGGGCATTAGGTAACATGTTATTACCTTTCTTCCTTAGATATGTTACTTTGTTGGTCTTTTGATTTATAGTAATGTAATCGTGTCAATGAATTTGCTTAGCAAATTATCTCTTGGACTCTTGGCTCTTTAAAGAAAGCATCACCAACAAGTCTCAAAATTTCTCTTCTCTTTGTAAGTATTCATCATGTCCTTCATTTTAAATATCACATTTCTAAACTAGATCATTCATTACTTAAAGTTAAAAAATAATTACAATTTAAGAAACTCACTTTTGGAATCTCTTGTGATATATGGGCAAACAACTTCAATGATGTTTTAAATACAAAGCTTCTATGGGATTAGCCAAAATAGATGTGAGATTGAAGCAGTTTACCCTATTTACCCCTGCCCGAGTTAAATTGATTTTCTTACATATTTCTATTTGTGTCCCTTTTATATTATAAGATTTTTTTTTAATCTTTTTTGGATTTTCAGGTATGTTTTGATGTGTATTCATTTACTGTAGATGTATACGCCTTCTTTTCTTAGTGTATTACTTGATGTATGTAATATATAAGGGCTAAATGCAGAAAATAACAACAAACTGTCACTTTCCTTGTGTTACAATTTACAAGATATTATTTTCATTTATGTAAATTACAGAATTGAAGACAACATAGCTTTCATGCTCATATCAATCCACAGAAGGGTTGGAAACTATAAACGTGTAATTAAAATTACATCTGATTAAATACTATGTCTATTTCAATAAATAAATCAATAAAATATGTACCGTAGATTCCTATTGCAAATGGTTTAATCGAAATCCGACCCCCGCAATGTGGGGGTTACTTCCCTAGTTATTATTAAAATATAAAATAAAAGAAAAAACAAAAAGGAAAAAAAAACAAAAAATGATGTCAAATAAAAAGTAAAAGGTTGATTGGATTGATTTTAGGGGGTAAAATTAGTTAGGTGGGTACTTATAGCACAACCCTTGTTTTTTTATTATAATACATTGTTATATTATATGCTTATTTATACTCACATGTGTTCAATTGTGTCTGTTTATCTTTATTCGTTTATGTTCGTTTAGCATTTCACGAACAAACATAAACAATGTATTTTGTTAAAAGTGACCCTCGAAAATACCTCAGACATACTGCAACAGATTGACGGTAGAGGGGATTGTGGGGTGTTTTTGTGTTGGTTCCTGGAGGCGTTGATCACTGGAAAATTGATTTCTATAGAGGGTTAAATCACCGATCCATGGGATATGCATTATAGAAAACGACTAGCGGAAATATTTTTGGGTACAAGGACAAAGATAATTTGAACATCGTATTTGTAATATGACCTATAGACACATCATTTATTTAGTTTATGTATTTATTAGTTGTTTGTTTATTTTAATGTTTTATAAAACCAAAAATGATACATTTTATGAAAGCAAAACTTATACATTTTATGAAAAAAAAAATCAAATCTATTCCGGAACCATGGTTCGGAATCGTACTCCAGAATTTCGAAGACCTCTCAGGAACAATGTGTTCCAAAGATTGTGATTACTTTACTGTCACACCCCGAAACCGATGGCGGAAACGTTCCGGGGCGGAGGACGTCATGTATAACATCATAACCAATGTATAATAGCAACCATAGCAACACAACCATCACAGTGTATACATATATGACAATGTTTACATCAGTTTGAAAACTTGTTTGAATTACATCAGAGAGTATATATAATATAAACATAAGACTCTTATTGCTCCAGCTTCTCAAAAATTCAGCAGGTACCTGTCTACTGATTTCCTGAGAATACAAGCAGTTTTAAAAATATCAGCATAAAGCTGGTGAGTTCATAAGCATTTAGTTTTAAAGAAAAATGTTCTTTGATTCTTTTGAAAAGTGTTCCTCAAGAAAATCCTATATTTTCTTATGGAAAGTAGCGTTGAAAGAGTATCTATTAGTAGAAGATAAACCATCAGTTTTTGAAAACAGGTTATCCGTCCTAGAGGTAGAGATGCCAGTTTAGAAATCCCTGAATACTATCAGTATATATAAAAGTAGTTTTATTACTGAAAATAAAACTAATGTAGGGTAGAGTCCGTAAACAAAGTTAGTTTATACTTATTTGCGAGTCGTATAACCATACTTGATATGACCGAGAGACCTTTATAACGTTCTTCAGGCGTTAAGCTAAACGACATTTGTTCACCCCAGGCATGCCCGCCTAACTGTAGCTAGCAGTTCAGGTGTGGGATTGTCAGTCCCGAATAGATCTATTCACAAATCTCACGCTCTCTCTCCAGGAGACTCTGGTTATACTAAAAGGATTTATCACTATACACCTAAGGGTACAGTATTGAAGTAGAGCCTCACAATTATGTATAATCTAGTTTACTAACGAGAAACAGTATAAAACAATAATTATCCTTGAATAATATTACTTTATACTCCTGAGAAAATATATAACATAAACTAAATCTGCCATAGTTTATATATATTCATTTATGAAATCTGGTTAAGTAGAGACTGCCTAGAGGGTTATCCCAAACTATACCCATTATAGTTTATTAGAGTTGATATGGAAAATGCTTTGTAAAAACTTTTCTGAAAGCTATGAAGTTTGATTTCCAAAATAGAAGTTTCCCTTATGCTCAACATATTACAAAAAGAGATAAAATATCTGAATATGTTATTAAACGTGGAAATCGTTGGACTGCATTAATAAGTTTAAAACTTAACAAAATACTTAGAGTTTAGCTTGTACCCTCCCCCTGAAAACATTAAAAACGTGGAAAATGTAGGGGTATGAACTCACCTCGGGTAAGTGGTTTGTTTGAAGGATCGATACGGAAAGCTGGGTGTTCAAGTGAAGCCTTGAACACGATTCGATCTTAATTAATACGCAATGACATATAAATGAGTCAAATGAAGGTATTTCACTACTATAAGTGATGGAAAACCATTCTAGGGACTTGAAACTATTTGCACCAAGTGATAGGACCTTGTAGGATTGAGTGTAGGGGGTGTATGGCCTCCTAGAGTGTGTGTGCGTCCATGAGTGTGCGGCCGTACACTCATGAAATGAGGTGTCTTCGAAGTGTTCTCAAGGTCCATACTGTTGGATTAAGTGTCTAAGCCCATAACTATAATTGGTATGTACTTGAATTGATAGCAGCACAGTCCTTTTGGGTTGCCCTCAAACCTAGCAACTGGACAAGGAAATTATGAAAGGAGAGATATTAATTTATAAGATTAATAAATTAATATAAATGATTTATTAATATGTTAAAAGATTAATATATTAATTAGAAATCATTATGTTTAATTAATAGTTAGCCAGAAATTAATCAGAATTAATTTTGGGGTTAAAAGTATTAATTATAAAGTACAGGGACTAGTTTGCAATTATCAGATAGTTGAGTGGAAGGCTCCAGAACCTCCTTGGAAGGAGGTGGACGAAATCTATAGGGGAAACCCTAAGGATTTCGTCCAAGGGGCTTTGGATAAGGCCTTTGGATTAGCTTAGGCCCCAAGCAAAGGAGTATTAGGGTTTTCCCTAAACCCTAAATCCCTCAGCTATATAAGGAGCCTCCCAGCTCCTGAATTCGCCCACTCCTTCATTGGTGAAACCCTAGGGCCGAAATTGCATACTCCCTCTCTCTCTCTCTCCTTCTAATTTCCTTCTTGCTAGCTCTTGGGTGTGATTCCATTAGAGGCATTACATTTGT